CCCAGGCTGTTCTCAAACCTGTGGGCTCAGGTAGTCCTCTCACCTCTGCCTCCCAAAGTGCTGGTAGTATAGTCGTGAGCCACCGCATCAGGCCAAAAAGTTGGCTTTAAAAGTTATTCTTAGCCGGGCTCGGTGGCTCAGTCTGTAATCCCGCGCCTTTGGGAGGCTGAGGTGAGTGAATTGCCTCAGCCCGCAGGTTCGAGACCTGCCTGGGCAACTTGGCGAGACCTCATCTCCACAATAATCAGCCGGGCGTCCGGCTACTTGGAAGGCTGAGGCGGAAGGATCGCCGGAGCCCAGCAGGTCGAGGCTGCGGTGGCCGGGAGCGGCTACTGCACTCGTCTGGGCGACGGAGTGAGACTCCAACTCAGAAAAAAAAAAAAAATGATACCTAAGAGAAAACTTTTTTTTGAGTCAGGGTGCAGTGCAGTGGCACGAGGTTCACCAGTCTTGACCGCCTGGTCTCAGGAGACCCTTCCGCCTCAGCCTTCCAGGAAGCTGGGGCTAGACACCTCTAACACACCTGGCTAATATTTTCTGTTGGCATGAGGTTTCACTATACTGCCCAGGCTGGTCTGAGACTCCTGGGCTCAAGCAATCCTTTCCTCTTGGCCTCCCAGAGTGTTTACAGAGAAATTACAAGTGTGAGACACCACGCCCACCCTCCAAATTTTTTAGTGTAAAGGAACAGAAGGCAATTTTTTTTAGGGTTTGTAAGCCACATTACCTCTGTTTTAACTCAACTCCCCACCGCTAGTTGGAAAGTCGTGTTCCAATGAAACTATGCATGGACTGAAATTTGAATTTCAGACCAATAGTTCTGGCTCACACCTGTAATCCCAGCACTGTGAGAGGCCAAGGCGCGAGGATCCCTTGAAGCCGGGATTCCGAGAGCAGCCCGGGCGACAGAGGGAGACGCCGTCTCGACAAAAAAACAGAAAAACAGGCAGGCGTGGCAGTGCACGCCTGAAGTCACAGCTCCTCTGGAGGCTGAGGCGGAAGGATCGCCGGAGCCCAGGGGGTAGAGGCTGCAGTAGACGCGATGGTGCCTCTGCGCTCCAGCCTGGTCGACGGAGTGAGACTCCGACTCCGAGAAAGAAAGAAAGAAACAAAGTGAGTTTCTCACAGGTTTCAAGTGTTACGAAAGAGTCTTGCTACCCCCCCCCCAACCAAACACGAAAACGACTCGTAGCTGGCGGGCTCCCACAAAACCAGGCGGCAGGGCAGACGGGGCCCAGAGTCTTTGCTCACTGGTTTGGAAGACTGAAGTCCCCTCTCACCAGATCTTCCCTGGAAACCTCGCGAAAAAGCACAAACGGACTCTCGGGGGACTCCAGACCCAACCAAGCTTCTCGGTCACCAGGGGCCTCGGCTCTAGAAGTCCCGGCGGCCTGGAGGCGCCGCTCCGCCCTCCCGAAGCCCCAGCCCGGACGGGGAGGCGCGACCGGAGGGGAAGGGGCGGCGCCGAGGACCGGAGAGTCCCCG